CTAATATATTTTTTGATATCCCTATGTATAAATGACAAATTCTGTAAAATAAGCAAATCATTCATAGAATCATACTCATGATTTAGGTCAGCGTTACACAACCTGTGGTCTGTCAAATATTATTGTTGGTCAACTGCTAAGGGTCTCTGGGTGACAAATCATAATCTCATTCCATAGAATCATATTCATGATTTAGGTTACAGTAACACTAGGACTTGCCAAATTCCTAATAAATATACAATTATAAACATGACCAACTTCAGCCATTTTGTTTTTTGTCATCTGACACAAGATGGAGACTGTCAGAAGCAACACGACGGTGTTCACACTGTTTGCACATGAAACACTGAATATACAGTATGGTTACATTTCTTTTAGAAGATACAATATCTGGAACACAGAAATTAAACAAAATTACTGCAATGAATCCATATACCGGTAAATGTTTTCTATTGTTGCAGTTTACCAAATTTTTGACACAAGTTAAAAAATTACCACAAATGTCAAAAAGAATCAAATTTTATACAAAGCACAAAATACTTCATCATAAAATATTTACTCATTTATCATATTATATTTGTGATTGGGATTTAAATAATTGCCAATAAAATGAGAAGTATTGTGATATCAGATTTATATTATATTGTATGACAGTCCACACTATCATATTCAGTGACAAACTTGTGTGATATGTAAATGAATCCATATACTAGAAGTTTCATTCCATTGTTGGTTATCATATGTTTGGCACAAGTTCAAGTTGTACTTAAAAATATCATCATTGTAGATTTGCAGCCAAATTACAAATGATAAATTTGTGAAAACAGAAAAAAATACCACAAATTTCAGAATTAACAACTAATTGTACTAAATAAAAAGCACAATACTTTTTCATAGTATATTTACTCATTTATGATTTTAGTTGTGTGATTGGGATTTAAATAATAGCCAACAAAAAGGAAGCATTGTGATATGTTTGATCATATCTTGTCTGATCCATTTTAAATAAATTTGATCTACAAATGTTCTTTAACATTGACTATTGTACACAATGGCTTAATGGCTTCAAAGAAAAAAATATTAAAAAAGATAACATAAGTTGGTATAACAATGCTTTAAATAAATCATCCTTAAAACATTACATAAGGTACAAAAGTGAACCTAAAATGGAAAAGTATTTATTAGAAAAGTGTAACTTTCATGCTTCAAGTTTAAAATTTAAAGCTCGTTCTAACTCACTAACTCTTGAAGGAAGAAAGAAATCTTGGTCACCTCAAAGTTTAGGCTTATGCTTATTATGTGACTGCGTGACAAAGGAAACCATCAATCATTTTGTATTTGATTGTACCAGATTAAAGAACATTAGAAATTTAATATTTGACCAACTTAAAGAGGAGTTATACAAAAAGGATTTACATATATTTTGGGAATTATTCACATCAAGCTCCCCAGAACTTAAATACCATCTTTTCTTTTGTTTGATGATTTAGAAATCCATTACAAATATCAAATTTTAACAACAAATTGTATAAACCCTATTAATTATACTATTGCGAGTAAAGTTTTCGATAATCATTTTAAATTACTTTTAACGATGGCATGGAAAGAACGAAATGAAATATATAATACTTTTCTCTTGCGAGACTAATATGTCTGGTTTTAATGTTATTGAATTAAATTTACAATATTTACTCTGTTATATATGTATATATGTATATGTATGTGATTGTGTATGTATGTGTATATGTATGTATGTATGTATGTAT